GGAAAGATCTCACAGAATGACAACTGCATACAGAAAAATGAAAATATTGTGCAGCTGTATGATGCTTTAGGCTAGGGTTATTACAAGCCAAAAGTTTAAAAAAATAAAAATTATAAAGTAAAAACATTATAGTAAACTAAGGTTAATTTATTACTAAAGAAAAAATGTATATTTTAAGTTTAGTGTAGCCTAAATGTACAATGTTTATAACATCTATAGTAGTGTACAGTAATGTGTAGTCCGTCACATTCAAGCACCACTCACTCACTGACCCAGAGCAATTTCCAGTCCTGCAAGCTCTATTCATGGTAAGTGCTCTATACAGGTGAACCACTTTTTTATCTTTTGTACCATGTTTTTACATTATCTTTTCTTATTTAGATATGTTTAGATACACAAGATTCGCAAATACTTATCATTGTGTTGCAACTGCCCACATTACTCAGTACAGTAAAATGTTGAACATGTTTGTAGCCTAAGAGTGATAGGCTACATCATATACCTTAGGTATGTAGTTGGCTCTACTATCTCGGTTTCTGTAAGTGCACTTAATAATAGTCGCACAAGGACAAAATTATCTAATGATGCATTTCTCAGAATGTATCCCTGTCATTAAGCCACAGATAATTGTCAAGACTATACATAGTGGAACAATATTCAGCTTTAAAAAATAAGGAAATTCTGCCATTTGCAACAACATGAATGAACCTGGAGAACATTATGTTAATTGAAATAAGTCAGACACAGAAACAAACAAAAACCCTATGTGAACTCAACTATATTATGCAATCTAAAAAAGTGAAACATAAGGAAGCAGAGTGTAGAATGTGGGTTACCAGGAGCATAGAGGTTAGGGAAAGGGACAGTTGTTGGTTGAAGGGTAGAAAGTAGCAGCTTTAGGATAAATAATCTAAATACAGGATCTAAATACGGCGTGACTGCACTTAATGATACTGTATTGAATAGTGCAAATTTGCTAAGAGAGTAGATTTCTGATGCTGTCATCACACAGACAAAAATGATGACTAGGCGAGGAGATATGTTAATTAGCTTGACTATAATAATCATATCACTATGTATATCGTATGTATATATTAACATATTATGTTTGTTTATATAAAATAATTATCACCTTACATATCTTAAAATATACAATTTATTTTAAAAATTATAAATTCTAATATATGACCAATATTTGTAAAATAAATCTATATCATTTAGCACTAGTAAATTAGGTAGGGAAATTAAATGAGAAAACTTGTAAGGATTATGGGGGGAAATGTAGTTGATTCTATTGCTCTCTGTCTCACTGATCACTAGCTTTGAGAAAAATCAAATTTTCATAATAGAATTGGGAGCTATAGATTGGACATTTGGAAGACAGAGGCAGAGATGATAGAGATGGAGATGAAAGTGGAGAAAGAGAGAAAAATATTCTCTTTATAAAAATTATTGCTATGGTTCTATTGTTCCATTGTTCACATGGCATTTCTATCTAATAGACAACAGTAGTTTTCTCTGGTCAGATACAATGCACAAAACTATATATTACCACCTGATATTTATTAAAGACATATTGTG